CGACAGCAGAATCAAGCTGCAAGAGCATTTGCTGTTGTTTTCTTCTCTCGAGCTCGTACGAAAGGTGGCTCGCGGCACGCGTTTGCTGCTAGGATCGGTTTTGCCTAGCGTGCCTTTATGTGCACTTTGCTTCGGGGCTCGGTGGCTTGGGGTGATGACACCTTACCAATTTTTTTTTAACTCTTATATTTATTTCTTTGCTCTGAAGCGCGTGAAAAAGCATGTCCCTGCACGCGTTCGTGGCGCTGACTGTGCTAGGGCGACATTTTGTTTCCTGCAACTTTTCTATTTTCCATGTGAGCGCGTGCTGTCGTCAACAGGTTCTACGAACGATGGCCTCACCCTCAACAGAAGGACATTGAGGTACTCTAGTTTTGCATGTCGGCTAGATTTTCCCGTCGTGTGATTTATGTCGGCAACGACGCACAATAAATGGGATCAATGAGAGGCAACGGATGTACGACGTAGTGATGCCATGGCAACGTCCAAATTGCATTGTTTACCGCCGTGCCCATCGCCTTTACTTTCAAATAGACCGCGGCCGATCTCATCAGCTATGCCAACCAATCCAGTCATAAAAACATGCACACGACACCGTGGTTTTTGATCCCCGAGACCAAGCGGAAAAGGCATATACTTTCAGCAAAGTCCCTTGGTGTGCTTGTGTTTGCCTTGCAAGCAACGTCAAATGCGCCAGTACACAATGCCTGTGCCACACGAGGCTCTTGGAAGCCAATGGCAGTGCAGCAATCTTTCGTGGCCGTGTCTCTAATGTTCGCACAACAGTGGTTGTCCGTACTTGGAAACGTCGGGCGTGAATTTTAACCAGAGTCTTTAGGCTCTCAGCGCTGGTTTGGCTTCGTTGGCTTGTATAACCCATTCCAGATCTTGGTCATTTTCTTGGTCGTCTTGTGTGCTGCGGCATATATCAGCAGTAGAGTTAGAGCTCAATTTATTCAACATTTCAATTTTTAAAAATTTACAGCCCAGCATGCGATCTCCACAGCCCAGGACGCGCATGTTTGTTGCTTCTGAAGGCAAACACATCACGTGCATGCCATACGCACGAACACTGAAAATGGCCCCGGCCAGAAGCCCGTGTCGAAAGGCCGTACTGTTTTTCGCATTCGTTGCGTGAACAAAGGAGAGCGTCGATAGTGATTCCATAACAACAAAGAATGTCTAAGGCGTCGCCATGGCCTCAAAAGACAATGATACGCGTGTTCGGCCGAGTTTCCAATATACATGGCTTGGAAGTAACGTCATTGCATCATTCTGGTGTTCATCTCAAGTTCTTTTTGACATGAGAAAGACATTTAGTGGTAAGTAACTAAGTAGCGCCTCCACGGTGGTAGACAAAAGGGACCGTCCGCGATCTTTTATGAGAGTACGTGGAGCTCCGTGGCGGAGAATCACCTGGTTCAGCGGGAACGCAGCAGTTTAGGGTGCTGTAGCGTTGGGAAGGACCGCTGTTTCTACGTAACATGTTAGATGGTCGATATACACAATTATCCAGTTCTGGGAAGGGTCCGAATAGGTCAACTCACACAACGACGAACGGTAAAGGAGGGGGAGCTATGGGTTCGAGAAGTCCTGGGGGAGTTGATGTGGGACACTCTCGACGCTGGCACAGCTGGAAACTCCTGACGCACTTGAATACAGCACTATACACTCCGGGCCAAAAGAACCCATGGATGACAAACTCTTGTGTAGGTTTTAGGAATCCGAGATGGCGGGCAGGGGGCTCATCTTGCAGATTTTGTAATATCTCTTGTCAGAGGTGTTGAGGTATGACAAGGAGCCAACGCTTACCCTGTGGATCATAATTTTGACAAAACAATATCCCGTCAATATAAACAATTGTTGAGCTTTGTTAGTAAAACGTCAACTTTTGGACGGATTGCTGCCTCTCAAGTGGGAGAGTATCTGAATTATTCACACGATCTGCACGCTGCTCGGAAGGCAAAGTCTCACAGGAAATAGGAGCGATTGAAGCTGTGGTATTTGTGTATAGTGCAAGTGTAGTAATGGTGTTAAAGTGCCCCTGGAAAGAAAAAAAAAGTTTTTTAACAGTGTTGTTGGGACATCCGTGTAAAAAAATTAATTATACGCAAAAGAAAACATTTTTAGAGAAATATTCACTACCCGAGACGCGATTTAGTTGCTAGTCACCTCATTTCTACTTGTTTTTCATCTCGGCATGCCGAGCGCCTGGAGGAGAAGTGGACCGGTTTCGCCTTCGCGTCGAGGTGGAAAGAGCGAATTACCATCGCATTGAGCGAATGATCACTTCGTGACGTCATGGACTTTGCGTGCAGAATTTCAAATAAATTTATCGCCGTGAATACCGCTCTAAACATTTTTTTTTTCGCGTAAAATTTGTTTAGTGCCACGCGTGTCCCAACAGACTGTTAAAAAAAAAAAAAGTTCTTTTTTTCCTTTCAGAGGCCCTTTAAGGGTAAGCGTACATCGGCAGAGGCCATCAGCGTCTTGATGTTTTTGACCACTTCTGTTGACGATATTAAAATCATACTCCTGCAGTTTTAGCGCCCACCGACCGAGGAGTCCGGTTAGGTCCTTAAGGGAAGCAAGCCAGCACAAAGAGTGGTGGTCGGTGACCACTTCAATGTGTCTTGCATAAAGCTATGGTCAGACTTTTCCAAGAGCACAAGATTGAGATTTAGACGCTTCGTAAACAACACTTTAATAATATTTTAGACAGCATTCGTAAAACATGTTTTTAGGCGAAAGGCTTACTTGTCCCGATGAGCGAAAAAGCGTCGTATAAACCGATAAATGTATATACGATTGAGCGGCTCGCTCCGCTCATCGAGCGATCTTACTTGTCCCATTGCCTTGGCGTCATCCTTACGGTCATCCTAGAAGTCGTCCTATACCTCTAGGACGACTTCACTTTTCACAATACTTAAGAAACAAGCGGCGTCGGCGGCGTTGTGCTGTGCCCGAAGGATGATCATAAAATACGTCATCAGGTAACAGCAGCGTGATGCCAAGTGAATAACTTCTGCAAACATGAAATCCAGATAGAATCCATGTAGATGTCTAGTTTTATAATCCAGATAGAGAAACGTTATACTGGGTTTTTCGGTAGGGATGGATCTCTAAAAATCGCAAAACTCGATGTGTAACATACGAGTGTTCGATTTAAAGAATGATCTACCCGTTTAACACATCTAAAGTGGAATGACTTTTAAGATCACATCTTTAAGTGCCTCAAAATATTATTTAACTCACTAACTACGTTCTGAGACACATTTGTCGGTAGGTGTGAAACCGACATTAACGTCTATACCGAGGCGTTGACTTCAAAACAGTATTTTTGGTACACACCATACTAAACCAGAAACTAACGGACGACAAGGGCGCAAACACACACGTCTCAATCTTTATGAGTGAAGCAAAGTGATGAGGTGGAAAATGTGTGTGTTTTGTCCCTTTGTCGTCCGTTCCTCGCCGGTTTAGAATCCTGTGGAACGTTAAGGAGCTCGCCTGCTTTATACATTTGGTTTCTGTTTTGCTCGTGACTTTATGTTTAAAAAAAATGTGGCCGCATCTCCACGTGGTGAATGATGTTCATTGCGGCGAAGCTGTGGTGGTGCTGATGATACTGATTTTATTGTTCATAGGTGGTGCGGAGTTCCGGATTGCGTTTCAACTTCATTATTACTGCTTAATGGTGGGTGAAATGCAGAGCCAGTGGTTCTTCTAGCGGATCAGCTTGGATCCGCTAGAAGCGGGGGGAACGCATCTCCACCGCTTAAGTCAACGGTCCATGTCAGAAAGAGAATGTGTTGTATGGATCGTGGTTATATACGCAGTTGAGCATTTGACCGCAGCGCCATCTCCTGTATAGACGTTGAGCGACTACATGCAACGTTGAAGTGTAGCGTAGTGTGCAATAAAGAAAAAAAAAGTGTAGCGTAGTGGTTAAGACGTCTGCCTCGTAAGCAAGCGGTTCCCAATTCGAGCCCCTAAACAAACGTACTTTTATTTATTTTTTTTTTTTTTATATGGGCCGATTTCGGAGGCAGTGCAATTGATGTGAGCACGGACGCCGGACAAGGCTAGACCCTAAGGAGCTTCGCCCCTAAGAAAAAAAAACTGTACCATGGAGTCAATATTACGCTACGCATATTTGTTGCTTTCGGGAGAAAAATGCGACCTGCCTGCGCACTACTCCAGCTTCCTCGCCAAAGCGGGAATAATTCGTGTCGCTCAGTAATGTCAGCACACCAACGAGACAGGCCTAGAAAATGGTATACCATCACGTATCTCCGATCCTCACTATTACCGCCATTTTGATAAACGAGTGGCGCCACATATAGACAGTTGGAGTCGTGGGTGTAACGTGACACCTTCGCGTCACGTCACGGGGTAAACTTTCCCGCGGACTTTAGTGGGCTAAATGCCCCGTGGCCCACATCACATCTGTCAGCCACGTTAACTCTCCTTTGAGAATCTCCCCCAAACCAACAAAAAGAAACAAGAATATTGCGTTAAACAGAAATCACCAGTAGTATTAATATTAATTTTGGTTCACATGTAAAACAAAACCAGTCAATAAAGATACCCTCGGGTGACGTAGCCTATCTGTGTTTATTTGCTTTGCAACTAACATTGATACTCACCATTCAAAACAAGCTCTCACAAATAAGTTTATTCTGCCAGCATTTTAGCTTGCTAATGAATACCAACAATTATCTTTATATAATTCAATGCATATTTTTCTGCTATTGAAGCATATGATTATATAGCATCGTGAAACGAAAAATGTGAGTCGCTACTCTTGTAGGTGTTTCTTGTTTCAATTTACTATCGTTAGCTTGGTTTGATCTATGGTTTTAGTCAGCGCCATGCACATTCCTGCAGCTCATGTTAGGAGTGAGGCCTCACGTCATGGAGGGTTTATGAGTCAGTCTTACCATTTGGAGAGGGTGTTCGTGTTTATTTCTAAGCGCATTTTTTTCCTTCCGTCAAAGGACTTGATAATCTTCATGCACTTACGAGTTTTCCGAACAACCAACAAGCTCTCAGAATCGAACTGACAAAAATAGGACAAAGGGAACCGACAGTATTGCTCTATCACAAATTCGTCGTCGGCTCCAAACAGGAGGGTTACAAGCTGACCGTTGCCGACTACGAGGGTCCTCATCAAGGTAGGTATCGGTTCTGCCGCAGTGCCTTTCGCAACAAATGCGAAGAATGTGGAATGGCGCGTGTTATTGAGCGCTTTGTCAGCAGGGAGCAGGACCTCTGCGGCTCTGCCGATAGAAAACCGAAAATTGAAAACAAGCCCAAACTGTTTTTGAAAGGCTGTAAATGCTTGGGGTGCTTTCTGTCTTTCTACGTGCGCTGATTTTGTGATTCTAGACGGTTGTTAGCTATTTTCTAGCTGAAACATCGTTTAAATTTGTTAATTTAGAAATTCAAATTCCCAAACCTAATTCAGAACTTCGTTATCGCAGACGCTAATGATTGTTCTGAATGTACCCTTTTAAGAAACTAGAACGAAATTAAAATCTTCTGTGTGACGTGTAGTTTCGCACGAACAATTCGGCTCATGTTCCGCGAAACACGCCGGCATGATCCACCTTTTATGAGATGGTAAAAATGATGTGCTATAACAGGGGTGGCCAGAGTGACATGGGGTTAGAGATGCAAACAAAACTATAAACGTTCTGAGAGCCGCAGGACAAAAGGAAGTAGTAATTCAAGTACACTAATTGAATTAATGTAATTTAATTACTTTCTTTTAAATTTGTAATTGCGTTTAATTACTTTGGGCTATAAGGAATTGTAATTGTAATTTAATTACTTTCTAGCTTCAGTAAGTGCAAAATTTCGGGCACAATTACAAATTACTTTTGCAAGACTGCGGCTCTGGCGGAATGCCTCTGAAAGCCTCAGTGCCCGCACCAGCGGCCTAGCTCTCGGTGACACACTCGCAGTTCCAAGTTTATTTTCTGTTGGCTTTACTTCGTATCATATTGGATTCAGCGTTTTGGAGACTGACTTCTCACCTGGGAATATTGTCACCATTGATTCAGGAGCCCCGATTCGGTTCTTACATAATTCTGAACCATCATAGTTCCAACTCAATGTAAATAAATCAATGAATCAATCAATCAATCAATCCTTTATTTCACATCAGAAACTGATGTAGGCTGCAGGGGCAAAAAGTCAAAAGTTTGACTTGACAAGGCCTCTGCAGCCTTACAATTGGCACACGGCGACATACTACACATGAAGTAATAACATTAAGTTTTCAGCTTTTAACATTAAGCAAATAAATAAATAAATAAAAAAGAACCAGAAGAACAGCATAAGATAAACACGCTGTTAAAGATAACAAAAAAATCATATACATATATATATATATACACATACACATATACATATGTATATACATACATGTATATACACGCATACATACACACACGTACATACATACGCATCATACAGACGCGCATATACACACATATATATAAGGCACATAGCATATTTAGGTACATGACAGGACAATAACATAAAACGTCTGTGTGTAAATGCGTTCCTATTAGCACGTGTGGATTATAATAACACTATTAAAATATTCTGAGAAGACTAATTGTCGTATATTTATTTGCCTGGCTAGCGAAATTGTGTCAACCTGATTTTACTTTACCGATCTGGCTCCTTCGAGCATATGAGCTAATTTAATATTATATCCCAGGCAGCACCGAGTTCTGGGCCAAAACTTGGCTTGCGTCTGGCAGTTTAGGGCACTAAAAAGCCCGAAGAAGCCAAAGTAGTGCCAAACCTGACCTCCCTTGGCAACAGTCTGGGTATCTTGGCCCTAATTCGCCAAACAAGTGCCAAACTTAGGCTTCGCTGCCGGGTAGTTCGGCTGTCGTCTGGCATCTTCGGGCCTAAATCGCCTAAAAAATGCCAGATTTAGGCTTACTGCCCGGTAGTTCGGCAGATCTTTGGCATTTTTGGGCCAAAATCGCCAAACTAATGCCAAAGTTAGGCTTCACTTTTTGATAGTTCGGCTATCACCTGGCACATTCTGGCCAAAATCGCCATGGATGTGCCAGAGTTAGGCTTACTACCTTGTAGTTCGGCAGATCTTTGGCATTTTTGGGCCAAAATCGCCAAACTAATGCCAAAGTTAGGCTTCACTTTTTGATAGTTCGGCTATCACCTGGCACATTTGGGCCAAAATCGCCACAGATGTGCCAGAGTTAGGCTTACTACCTTGTAGTTCGGCAGAGTTTTGGCATTTTTGGGCCAAAATCGCCGAACTAATGCCAAAGTTAGGCTTCACTTTTTGACAGTTCGGCTGTCACCTGGCACATTCGGGCCAAAATCGCCAGAGATGTGCCAGAGTTAGGCTTACTACCTTGTAGTTCGGAAGAGCTTTGGCATTTTCGGGCCAAAATCGCCAAACTTATGCCAAAGTTAGGCTTCACTTTTTCACAGTTTGGCCGTCACCCGGCACACTCGGGCCAAAATCGCCACAGATGTGCCAGAGTTACGCTTACTACCTTGTAGTTCGGTTGAGATCCGGCATCTTTGGGCCCAAGTAGCCAAACGAGCGCCCAAGTTAGGCTTCGCTTCCCGATAGTTTGCCTGTGATCTGGCAGCTGCGGGCCAAAGTTGCCAAAAAAGTGCCAGAACTAGGCTTACTGCCTTGGAGTTCGGCTGACGAATTATTTGATGTATGCGGGTGGTCTTCATCTTAATTAAATAGAAATCAAGTTTTATTCGGCTGGCAACTTTATGTTATTTCGGGTGTCTCTTGATTTCTGCAGTCCAAAGGTTGGCTGAATGTTTTGACGCGGCTGGAGCAGGCTTTGCAAACGCAAATAAATTGTGCCAGAGGTTGCACTCGCGCGTAGGTACACAAGCCAATATCGGAGCGCGCCATGAGACTGGTTCGACATTATGGCGCGTTCACACCGGCGATCCGATCTAGTCGCGCCATAACTTTCATCGCAAAAGCGACCATCGCGGGCAAAAAGTGACGGGTTTCGAGCAGTCGCTTGCTCACCCGACTTTTTACGATGCACTCTAGTCGCGGAGAGGCCCAGCCAACCAACGGCGTTCGGAGCGAGAGTTTTTGAGAAGCGACTCGCCAACGAAGGCGTTGGACTCGCTCATCGCGCACGCCAAATTGACCAACTAATTACTTTTATTTTTTTTTTTTTTTTTGCGATGCGATTTAGTTGGATCGCGCGACTGCTTACATCCCCGGTGTGAATCCGCCTTTACAGAAAGTGCTGTCAATTGAGCTAACACTGGACAAGACGGATGTGCGCACGTTTCCACAAGAGATATCATTATTAGGCGGCGCATTGCAAAAGCGAGCGTGGCTCAGTGCGTGTCTGTCTTGCATTGTGATTGAGCACTGTCAAATCCTAGCGACAACAAAGAGCGGAAACGACCGGGGCTCCGTGGCGCGGCTCCCGCATCACACTTGGGGAATGAAAATAAAATCCTGGAAATTGTACTATTTTAGCGTGTTGATACTTTTTAAACATTAAAAGTGGAGACACAAAAGGGACGATCAGACAGGACAATCTGAGCTTTAAAGGCCGCTGTACAAACGGGACGTTCTACAGAGAAGAACCTTCTCTCCCGAAGCTAGGGGACGGGGAGGGAAAGGGCCATCGTTGGGTGGAAAGAGCGTCTAGAGAATGGGATTAGCCTCGGGGCGAGCCATCCTCTCGAGAGGGAGTGGGGACGGAAGAAAGCTGCCGTGGGGGTTGCGGCTAAAAGGTGGAAGAAAGTTAAGCTTGTCAAACGGCGACCTCGGATCCGAGGACGGGCACGTTAGAGAATTTGAAAAAAGCTGCTTGATTAGCCCGACGACCCAGTGCGGTCTACTGGTTCTAGAAGGTGACTCAGATGAAGAAAACTCGTTTTGCTCGAAAACTCTAAAAGCATTCTGGACGTGAACTCTTGCCACAAATAAAAATAACACATGCATGAAAAACTACGAAGGCAACTAAGCTTTCTCCTATGATGGGAGAATGCGTGAGCATTACAGGCAGAGTTATGTTGGCGCAACTTGCAATAAAGAAAGACAAAAAAAGTTATGTTGGCGCGACGGACAGCGCGCTAGTTTCACGATCAAGCGGGCTTAGCTTTGAAACCGGGCTTGTTTTTTTTCTTGTTTTCCTTTTTTTATTTAGTTTATTTTTTTTATTTTCTTTTTGTTTGGTCACGTAACAAAAAAAATCACATGAACAGAATTTTTTTTTTTTGGCCACGTCACCAGATTTTTTTCTTATTTCTCCTTTCCTTCAGTCTTTCTTTTTTTTTTCCTTTTTTTCGGTTTACGCTTTTTATCGCAAAACTCTTTGCACCTATTTCGCGTTAAATTTGCGTTAGCCAAATCATTTTTTTTTATGGCAGAGAATTCTGCCGTACGTACCCTATGTTACTATTACCAACCCTGGCTTGCAATTTCTGCTATCTAAAGGACTGGACTATGCCCTTGCTCCACGGTACGTTCCAAAACGTGACTTCATAATTGAAATTGAAGAGAAACTCAGACATGTGCACGATGTCACAGGGGTAAATTTCGCGAGAAGCCGCGTTGTCAGTGTTTCGAACAATGTGAAACCGGCCGGGTCAAATTTAGATCAACAAGAACGCATTGCTCTTAATCAGTTGAAGTCAGACAGCTCGATCACGATTTTAAAGGCCGACAAAGGAAAAGGAACCGTTGTGCTTGATAGGGATGACTACCTGAAGAAGATGTATGAAGTTATAAATGACAGTCGCTATTTCGTGAGGCTATCAAGAGATCCCGCCGCTAAGTCCGAAAGAGAGTTAGCTGACCACCTTCGAGAGCTGAAAAAGAAAGGACGCATCAGTGATGACCTATACCGTCATCTCTTCTCCTTTGACGCCGCGACACCCAAGATGTATGAACTCCCCAAAATTCACAAACCGGGTTGCCCCCTACGCCCGATTGTATATATTATTGATTCATCCACTTACAGCCTTTCCAAATATCTGGTAATGATTCTGAGCCCTCTTACGGGAAACAATAAGTTTAGCGTCCGGAATTCCCGTGACTTTGTTTAACTTATACGCGCTCAGACCATGCTACCGCACGAGGCTATGGTATCCTTTGATGTGATTTCATTATTTACGAATGTCCCCA